CAACAGGACATGAATAGCCCCATATGAAGACCAACCTTAATGAAAACAAACTATAACAAACATAAATCAAAGACGATAACAAATATAAAATTTACAGAAAACATGACGAATTACGAACAACAGCTTAAGTTGAAAGAGCGGCACTTAGAACAGAAGGTTTTCCAAGTGCGCATTCTGTTTACATCGAAAGATGAATGAAGTGAGAAGAGTAATGAACAGTTAGTCTGTTTTTAAATGAGGAAACGGATGAACTATTACGAATGGTAGGAGAGAGATTATTCCAGAGAAAGACAATTCGGTTGAAAAAAGAGTTCCTAAAGAGAGAAGTCCTGCAATGATTGACACGAAGCAAGTTGTCCGAACTTGAACGGGTGTGAGACGAGCTGTTTGAAGAAAAAGTGACGAAAGAGGAGATATCTAGGTCGAAGAGACCGTGCTTACATTTAAAAAAGAAGACGAGATCCTTTAGTTCCATCCAGTAGGATATTGGTAATAAATTAAGCTTTTTAAGGCGTTCAGGATATGGCAACTCATAATCCTGAAGAATATATTTACTAGCTCGTCTTTGAACACCCTCGATGATCGCAAGATCACGTGACGATCCTTGAGGTGCCCAGATCTCACTACCATATGACAGATGAGATCGGACGAGAGCAAGATAAAGGAGCCTACGGCAGCAAATATCAGACATATGCGTACAACTCCTACGAAGAAAACCAAGCATACGATTGGCTTTTGCAGTGCAGCTGGCGATGTGAGTGGACCACTTTAGGTCATTGCTGATAACAACACCCAAGTCTACTTGGTTAGCTATGCTCTTAACTGGATCGTTGTTAAGAAAGTAGCAATGAGTTGGAGGGTTACGTTTGCGGGATATCCTAAGTAGGAACGTCTTCGAGACATTAAATTTCATTTTCCAGTTAAGTGACCAGTTGGACATAGCGTCCAGGTCGAGCTGAAGGAGACCACGATCAACTGGTGATCGTATAGCACGATAACACTTGCTGTCATCAGCAAAAAGTGCAACGGTACTATTATTGGTTACCTCGGAAAGGTCATTTACATAAAGAATGAATAAAAGTGGACCTATTACACTAGTGGACCTATTATTATTATTTTTTAAATAGTACATATATATAGATTTATATTTATATATATATATATATATATATATATATATATATATATGAAGAATTAACAAAATATAATATATATGCTCGTTACACGAAAATATATGATATTTCGATCAACCAACATGAGAAGCTTACAAAGACATGCATTTTTACAACAAAATCATAAACTTACGATAGTAAATGTGACCCCTCTCTTTCGTCTGGAATTTTTGAAATTTTATCCTGAGAGGATACATCAAAAATTGGCAATAGTTTATGCGATTCTTCGAGGGAAATTTCCTTGTACTTTGCCATATTATTAATTATTGTAAATTTGATATCATTTATGTATGGCATGAGTGAGTCGAATTTATAATTAACCTGAAAAAGGGAAAATTTTGTTAATGCATACCGTATTTACTCGATTGAGCGCCGCCACCGAATGAGCGCCGCACTAAACAGTGTAAAAACTTTCCGCCGTCAAAATGAGGACATTTAGTGACAAAAACCTTTTAAAACTTGTTTATTTTATTGTTAAAAGTTCTTTTTATAATTCACAAATAAAATAATTTTTAAAGAGCGCCGACCCCGATTGAGCGCCGCCCCCGAATGAGCGCCGCATCTGAAGGTCTGAAAATTTAAAGAGCGCCGCGGCGCTCAAACGAGCAAATACGGCATACTAAAAATGAAACAGGGGTTACAATATAATTATATGAATATTAATTCCTATGAAGCTGTATTGGCTGGTCGAAACTGAAGCATATATTCTACCGCGAAGAACCTGCGTAATTCTTGATGTGTAAATTATATGTAATCAACGCCATGTTGGATGAATTTTACAAACGGCATTCGTTGTTTCCAATAATCTAATTTGATTCGTCCAACATGGCGAAATTCTCTTTGTGTTTTTAATCCTTTGAGAATGGTTGGACACCACCTATATATGCAGCTGCTGTTTGTTATGAAAAAAGCGTATGAATAAAACGTCAATGAAGACGTGATCATCAACAGTGGAATTTTACTCTTGAAGACAAGCGACAAAAGAAAATATTCTAGTACCATGCGGTAATACGCCGTAGTTATTCAACATTCTAGGCCTACGTACGTTATACAATCATTTGCACGATTCATAACTAAGTAAACAATTGAAACGTTCAAAGTCACGTGGGTATTTTGGCAAAAAATTGACCAACGGGGAATTTTCCGAAGTTTTCTCGAAAAAAACCCCGCTTTTCACAAAGGCATTACGGCGGGCGTTTGTTTTCTCGCAGCCCTCGCCTCCCGCAAGCAAATAAACGCCTGCTGGCGGCGTATTTTCTACTCACACCTACATGGCGGCCTTTAAGTCGGCTTCACTGGAATTAGAGTTCACTGGAATTCACTTATACTATTGGTATACTTGTTTGTCGTATAAGCATAATAAGACAGTACTTTTAAGCGACAAATAAAGTTTAGTAATGCATGCTTTCAAATGGCTCACGTACAAAAATGTGAGTAATTTTTAATCATTGCCATTGTCGATTGTCAAACGCTCTATAGTATCACTCTCCTCCGCAGAGGCTTTGTAGTTTGTTTTCTTTCTATATATAAAGTTTGACTATAGAGTTTGCGGGCAGTACCAGCCGTCTTTCCCCACGAGCTTGGTAGTGTGATTCCCAATTATATCCAAATGTCCAAGATGCCCCTTTTAAGATTCCCTATTATCTCCAAATGTCCACGATGCCCCCTTTTAACCCCGCGCGCTCGCTCCTCCCGCGTGCCCACTTCTCTGCCTAGCCCGCTGCTGCCCGCAAACTCTATAGTCAAACTTTATATATAGAAAGAAAACAATTAAACTGCAATATAGAAAGAAAACAAACTACAAAGCCTCTATGGAGGAGAGTGCTCTAGTATAATGACATGGTTAACCAAGCCGGCAAACTTCAGAGATATTATAGGAGAAACAAACATGATGTAAAGCTTTGATGTAAAGCTTTAATAATAATCCACCTTAAGTAAAAAAATACAGTGGACTTACAAATTCATAAACATTATAAAACCATTATATTACAATAAAAATTTGCATTTTTAAAAAGGTTCAGTTGCCAAAGGCACAGACGACGATTATGTCATTCAGTTCAGAGAATAATGCAACCTACATTCAGCCTAAAATTACAGAACCGTCTATTACAGTAGTAATTTAAAGTTTATTATTAAAAAGTTTAACTGCACGAGGCATAAACGATGATTTATGTCTTTCGGTTCTGGAAATAATGCGACCTACATTAGAACCTCTTTCTTTAGTTCTAGTGGAATAGTCATGCTTCTGTGCGATAGGGACAAGGTGGTGACAGGGATGGTTTACGTCCTGAGTAATTGCCTCCATTTCTCGAAGAGTTAGCTTATCTTTTCTCTCACTAAGCGGGGGAAGTGTATGGACCGGTAAACCAATAATACGTGAGCTTCTCCTTTGAATACGCTCAAGGTCGTTCACTAAAGAGTGAAGTAGGCCACCCCAAACCTGTGCGGCATATTCAAGCAGTGGACGAATTTTGGTGCAGTAAGTTACCAATCCTACTTCAGTAGGAAGGTGAGCCTTCCTGCACTGCCTTAGATGACACAGTCTCCTGTTTCCCTTACGAGTAATTTCTTTGATGTGAGAATTCCATTTCATGTTACTTTGACAGCTAACACCAAGTAACTTGAATGAATTAACTCTTTCGATCATAACATCCCCGGTATAAAGATTGGGAGGCTGTGGGATAGATTTCCCAAAGCAAATCCACATATCTTTCGTTTTCTTTGCGTTCAACTTCATTCTATTAGCGTTTGACCAGTTCTGAACGGAGTCTAAGACTTTCTGCATGTTGCTACACTCTCCCTTCATGATGCATTCGCTTTGTGTGCAGTCATCGGCATATTTGTATGTGCTCACCTCAAGATCTTCAGGAACACTCGTATCTAAGTCGTCAATGTGGATATTAAATTGAGTCAGCGAAAGAGCAGATCCTTGCGGTACTCCAGCTGGGCAACCCTCGATCGATGAAAGTGTTTGATTTATCTTGACCTGCTGAGTTCTACCAGATAAGAAGCTTTTGACCCACAACCAGAAGCTTTTATTAACATTCATCAATGCAAGTTTATTCAACAGGATCCCATGATCAACTAGATCAAAGGCTTTTTTAAAGTCGATAAAGAGGGCATGGATGCCTGCTTTGTCACGGCAGGTATTGTGAGTAGCATTAAACCATGGCTGTGTGATGGATATCAGAGCCGATTTAGTAGAGCGGCCACTAGTAAAACCATGTTGACTGGGACGTAGTATGATGTCATTTTGATTGAGTTGTAGTTGTACTCTCTCTAGGATTTTCCCAATATGTGGCAAAACAGAGATTTGTCTAAAATCGTTACTAACGTCAGTTGGTGGGTATGCTTTAGGCACAGGTGTGACCAGGCCATGTTTGTAATGACTTGGATACTTACACTGTTTAATGCTAGCCGTAATGATGTCATGAACAATCGGCGCTAGAACGCTAGAGAATCGTTTAAGTAACCATGCTGGAACACCATCGGCTCCTGTTGCTTTCGAGTGATTAAGGTGATTTAGGACGCTCTTAATCTGGCCAATACTAGGTAGAGGGGGAGGATAGTTTTTGAGAAGTGACTCAACTTCATCTAGTTGGGGAATACTTGTTGTAATTAGGTCTTTCCAAGGTTCAGTAAAGGATATTTGAAATTTTTCTGCTAAAGCGGCCTCGCTACCCATAGAGTTTACTGTTAGGCCTTCATGCTGACTACTTACTCCGGACAGATTATAAATTGCTTTGTACCATTTCGCAGGGTCAGATGTGCGGAATGTTTTAGCTTTATTTTGATAGTAATTTGATTTGGCTTTCCTAATCATATCTTCTACTTGTACACTTTATACTGGGACATGTTGCCACGAGTAAAAGCCCGTTGTCTAAGCTTAATCTTTGCTTTAATGTTCGGAGTCATCCAAGGTTTATCCGTGGGATGTAGGCGTATGGATTTCAGAGGCATACATCCGTCTAGAGCTTGACTAATAACTCCATTGAAAATTGAGACTTTGTCATCTACGTCTTCTGCTTCGTATACTGCATCCCAGACAGTTCTGCTTAGTCTTAGCTCGAGAGCTATTAAGTTTGAACGTTTCATCGATCGAAATGTTTTAGTTATTGGGCGTGTACTCGTCCGATGTTTTGGATTCAAAAGGAGGCATTGGTGATCCGATCGACCTAAGGGAGGAAGATGTTGCACTTCTTGAAACAGTGGCGACATATTAGTCATTATCTGATCTAAAGTATTGTTCTGGCGAGTTGGTTTCTTAACAATTTTCCTCAAATCAAAACAATTACATAATGTTCCTAATTTCATTTTGTTAAAGTCTCCAGCGATTATAATTCCAGCAGAGGGATAGCTTTGTAGAATAAAGTCGATTCCATTAATAAGGTAATCAATCATAGTTATCTCATTTATAGCCGCTTGACCTGGGGGATAATAAACTGCAACCATAACAATGCAACTGAAAGGCCTTGGAAGTCTTTGTGGTTTCAACAATAGCCACAGAGCCTCTTTGCCTTCCTCTTCCATGTCAAACAAGCGGCTAGAAGGTATTGCAGTTTTAACATAAGTAATTAAACCGCCGCCAGGTGTTCCTCTATCTTTTCGGTACGGAGTATAGTTAGATCCAATAGATATAACTCCATCGTATATGCTGAGATCTAGCCAGGTCTCAGAAATACATATAAGGTCAGGATCATTAATTTCCGCAACTGAGCTGAGCTCATCCATTTTATTCAGAATGTGACAAGCATTAGTTAAAAATAATGAAGGAACAGTCTGTTTATTCGTTTTTATATCGGTAGATATCTTGATACAGTTCGTAGGCTCATGGGACCTTCTTCTATCAGAATAAAGCGTATTAATGTGGGGAGTGGTGCTCGCGGTTTTAGAAAATAGTTGTTGTCGATGAGTAATCCTGTCGGAATCGGCATTTTTATCGTTTCATAGTGCGATGGACAAGCTTCAGGTGATTGATCCAGTCCTGCTTGTGACAGCGACTGCGCGTGTTAAACGTGTCCGTCTTTTCCAATTGAGCTTTAAAAAATAATTATCATTCTTATACGATTCGGGCAGCTGATATTATTTGGCCGCTGAACTGGTTGCGATTTAGGTTTTCCTTCTATGAGAGGCAACCTCTCCATCCAATCTACTGGGAGACATTTATGCTTAGTATTTTTTGACATAGGTTGTATTGGGGTCTTGATGGCATTCGCCGTCATTCTAGCATCTGTTGTCTTCATGGTAGATGTTTGTGAAATATTTTGCTTGGCAGACTTGAGAGTACAAGATGCCTTGTGCTTTCCCTCTAAGAGAGGCAGCTTTCCTAACCAATTTTCTGGATTATTTTTTGATAACGCAAGAGACATGGTCGTGAGTGCCTTCAGATTTGTTATAGCAGGCACTGGGATATTTTGCAAAGCCGAGTTAGAGTCAGAGACATGAGATTTACCATTATTCAGACTAATATCAGTGTTATTCTCGTGCCTTGTACCCGTAGTCTCATCAATAGGTATTGTTTTTGACGACAGGCGTCGTTGGTTTTCTATTGTGTCATTACATTGGGACGTATCTTGCGTATCTAATGAGTATTTTTGTTGTTTTAGTGAGTCTCTCTCACTTTCGGCCTCTAATAATTTAGTTCTAAGTTCCCTAATAGTATTATCACGATCCATAATTACTTTATTCTTCTCATCAATGATTTTAAACAGCTCATTTACCGTAGCCTCAGTTCTGCGATCATGAGTAAGACACCGCCATCGCCGGGAAGCAAAATTTCACTGATTGACTTTATAATGCCATTTGTAGAATCAATAACATTGTTAATAGAACTAATTTGTTTCTGCAAATCTTCAATGTCTAGCTTGGCGTTTTTAATGTCATTTCCACATGGGTTACAATCACAGGTATGATGACTAGATATATATAGCTCTGGCTCAATTGCAGCCTTAGTATCTGCAACGATTTCACACAGCTTTTCACAAGGTTCGGCAACTGGATGAGCCGTTTGAGTCGAAAACTTTGCATTCGAATTAGGACTGTCAATGATTGGTTCTTCTAACATTTTTACTACAAAATCCTTAAGTACTATGACATCTTTTCCTTGAAATAACAGTGAATTTTGTTCCCCGGGGTGCCAAGTTATACTTAAATCGGCGTTTGTACTGTTAAACTGCTTAGATTTACCGCCAGGTGATTTCCACCTACCGTTAAGGCCAACGATATTTTCGATAAAATACTTGAGTGAATCAAGGTCCAGCGTCCACTTTATTCGATTTCCTTCATATATCAGGTGAGCTTTATCCTTAAATGATTTTATCGTATTCGTATCCACACACTTTACAAGAAAATTGAGATTATCTAAGGAGCTCGCCGAAACATGACCAACCGCCATGTTGAATTTATTGCATGCTGAATTATTTCATCACTGGAACAACTCGCAAAGGTTGGGCAATCTAGCACATGATGATTTTCAGAGCATACATAATATTGGAGGGTTTCTTCTCTTTCTGGTTCGAATGAATTCCTCTCTCAGGGGCGTTGGGACCCTGATTTTGGTATATCGCCAAAATCTGGATCAAACTCGGCCTTAACACGTTTCTTCAGGAATTTGCTGATATGTTCTAACGAGGCTACGGGGTCTCTCCCTTTTCTCTAAGGTCTGAGGCTACAGCTTTCCATTGATCTATCATGTGATCCGGAAGTCGTTTTATGATATTTCTGAGGTTATCGGTGGCATTGACGTCCGCGACATGGTTAATTTGTTTCAGCGTTGCTACGCAATTTGCAAAATCGAAAGACAATTGTTGTAAAGCCTGTCTATCATTGTTTTGAATTTCACTCGCGTCGACTAATTTGTTGATATACGCTCTAGCGATGACACTGGGTTGGCCAAACTGTTCTTTAAGAGTTTTTAGCGCGGTTGCATACATTTTCCCCTGCGAGCCAAGACCGCCCACTGCGCGCTTTGCGTTGCCAGCTAAATGCATTTTTAATTGAACCATTCTTACGTCATCGGAAAGATGCGGTTTGTTATGAATATGTAACTTGAAACGCTCAATAAACTCGACATACGTCAAGCGATTACCATCGTACTCTATTAGTTTAATACTAGGAATGTTTTTGCATATGCTTCTAATTTGTACAAAGCTTCCGCGATTGACATTTCCGACGCCTTGGTCGGTAACGCTGTTTCCTCAAACTCAATTAGATTGTCTATCCAGCTATCAAACGATTGCGGCGATGACAGGTCGTAATTAGCCTTTGCTTTCGAGCTGTTGACAGATTTTTTAGTGACACGAACTTTAGGTTCGTCTGGGGCCGCGGAATTACATGGTAAATCTTGCGATAGACCACCGTCCAATATAGCTGTGTTATTTCCACTGGCAGTTAAGTCTTTGTCCCCAACTGCGGCCTCTTGAAGCGTTTCTATTTTCTCTCCCAACTTAAGTGGCAGTCTCCTTAACAGCGGTCCGTCGAACTTCACTTCAGAAAACCAATTTCTCTGAAACTTGGCACATCAAAAGGGTTTGGTATAGAACTAATAAAAATGGAATACCTTTTTGGAAATCTTTTTTTTCGCTTTCCTAGAAACTCGAACTTCCTTGTGCCGAGCAGGTTCATTTGGTCATGCCTTTCAAGGCCGAAATTTCGCAATATTTAGGACTGCACCGTATCAAAACTAAACGCGCTGGCAAAACGTTTTATTCGCCATTTGTTTTATTTATCTTTACTTATAAAAACATACAAATGTCAAATTCATTGATTGCTTAGTTGATAAGATATGTCAGCCTTGAAAGGTACCCTTCTGTGCAGGTTGCGGAAGTGCACTAAATTATAACAAATTTCGGAAACAAAATTCGCGTTTGTTTGACCAAAATTGAAATAAAAAATTACATCCATATGCAGATGATAACTTTATCTCCAAGGTTCTAAAGTCAAACCTTCGGGTATGCCGCTGTGTGCGAAGCGGCGAGAAGGCCAATTTGGTCAAGTTCGCGCTTTGTTTACATAAAATAACACTTCGTAATCCGCACTGAAATCTATCAATTGCTCGCCTAAGAACTGCTCCGGGTTTGAATTATGCCCAGGATTATTCCTTAAGTTCACCTAAACAAAGATACATGAACGATCTACTCAAGTTTATATGAAAATAGATTTAGAATATTGCGACTAAACCAAATTTTAGCTAGGTATAGATCGAGTTGTGCTGAGCTGTTCTGCAGAGGATCGAAACCCCGCACAGTCATAAGCAGCAGTGAAACAATTGATCTTATTTACGGGTAATACGAAATGTGTTGCAACTCCGGATAATAATGCGACTTCTCTGTTGCATAAAACTGAGTAAACATACTGAGGGCTTGCCACAGTCTGTGACGTAACTAGCCCCACCGAAGTTTTTGATCAGTGTAATTACGGTTTTGTCAATATGATTATGAATTTTGTACTTGATTGTAAAATGGTTTGTTTTGTGTAATATATGAATAAAAGCCACACCCGTGGCCTTAAAATTTTCATAAAATTTTCAAACTGGGCTTGTTTATTTGCCCGCCATTCGCGCTCCGTCGCAAAGGCTCAAATACTATGTTGTGTTTATTAGTTTATTTGATTGCAGCATGCACCAGCATAGCATAAAAGTCGACGTCTATAAGTAAATGCATCGGCGTAGCCGTCTTTGATCGAAAACAATAACAACGCGAGTTTTTTGTACTCCAACCTAATCCTGATTTTCTCACCAAAATTTTTGCTTGATATTGCTGTTCTAGCATATTCATATTCAAATTAGCTAGATAAATGTAATGCACCGTGACAAATGGTAGAGAACGAGTAAGCAGAGGTGAATATAATGACGGGCAAGTAAACGTTTTATGTTGCTTGCCCGATTGGGCAAGTTGCCTTGCCACAAAAAGCTGGGCATCTTTAAGTTTATGTTTTCATTGTCGGATAATTTTTTTTTATAGTGCATGTACTTGATTACAAATTTTGTTTTTAGTGGGCCAAATTAAATCTGTGGCAGTATAAAATAGCCATATAGAGCAGTGGAAGAACGGGTCGACATGTTGTCCCCTCAATTTATACCCCCTATACCTACAGTAGGTACCCCAGTGGCCATTGTCTGATGGCAAGTGGATTTTATTAAAGACAACTAATTTTCATGTCCAACTTGCCCGGAGAGCAAGGGGTCCAAAAAATAAAGTTACACCACTGAGTAAGCTATGAGTCAGCCAGTAAGCTATGACTCAACGAGGAGTTGCTTCAGGAGTTGCGAGATTGGAGGAGAACAACGTAAAGAAGTACGTAAAGTTCTCTCCCAAATACAGGGCCCTTTAATAACATAAACTTGTGGGGACTCCCCCCAGCCTCTGTTTTGTTCCCTCCAATGAGCTATGTTGCCCCCCTCCCAGTGAAGGTCCCTTCTGTCTAAAATATAAGCAAAAAAGGGAAGAATAACATAGTTAAGAATAGTATTTTAGTATTCCCGTGACCAAATCGTTGTCTAGCGGATGAAATATATAAAAAAATATATAAAAATGCGTATAAGAATGCCGAAAATCAAGCCGCAGACATTTAAAAATACAAAATGTTTCATGTAGTATGTAATACTTTATTCTCGAACTCAGAGCCCCCCCCCCCCCCCCCCCCC